TTGACTGACTGGTTATGCGATAACCACGGTACTTCTTGTTATAAATAGTTCGGGAATTTACTTGCATTCATTCTTGACCAGCATTTGCTCATCACAACACGACCTATATACAACACGATGTATATTAACCATTAGAATTTTGCTAACTTTATTGTTCTAATGTACGAAAATATATCTCCTTCTTCCACAATCAACGTGCCTTATGATATATCAACTTAATTCAGTGACTCATGATTATAAAGCCCGTGTCATTTGTAACAGGTTGATTTTACACACGAATTGAAATGCCTTATGTAACAGACTTGTACTTCAGAATATATTACGATCATTATTAATCGTAAACTGACTCCATCAGCTGTTGTTCTGTATTCATTATAAGCTGCCAAATATTTAAGCATTTTTCTACCGCTCTACAAACTGTTCTTGTTTCTTTCACCACCCATTTTGATCTTGTTTGTAAACTGGCATGCTTCATGCAACATATTCTTATTTGAGAATATATTAGTATTGTTTTTCTGTTTTTCACAAATATATCCGTTAAAGGTTCATATGAAGCACACTGCTAGCTTCGCGATAGGCTGAATCAGTATAGATAATTGTGGGAATTGTACATAAGGCTTCACAGATTGAGTGATCACATCATAGCAAATCCATAACAATCGATTAGGTCTATTATTCTGGTAGCATAGATAAGTCCACTAATACTAACTAAGTTCTAGATCATATAAGTTCTATTTTGTTGAATGATTAGTGATGATCGATCCCTATGAAAGCCAGATGTCTTTCTCAAGGTTATAATTCTACTGGAATGTTCATTTGGTCCAACAACACTCTGTTGAAAACTTTGCCTGTAACTGGCAATATTTTGATCCTTGTGTCGCCCTCATGCTTACAAAGATCTCCTCTATACAGTATTTTCATGTGATGCCCTTATTTTCGACCTGCTAGTAATTTCTCTTTCTCCTCAATTATTTTTAGAGGAATGTGGAAAATCTATGCATTTTTCTCTATATCTAACTTCAGTGGTTCTGTCGATTCGATATCTGATCCTCCTATTTTTTTCACTCTTGATTTGTGTGAGTGTTATACTGATTCCTTTGATTTTTTGGACTTTGTCATCTGAGGGAGGGTCCGTGTTTAACCTCTTTTTTCCCCTAATTGATAACTCATGTTTGTTAGATTTTCCTGCTGACTTATTTGTTGTATTATGTAGTCCACACACATTTCCTTCACTTACGGCGATTCATCTGTCGTTGCCAGGTCTCCTACACTTCTCCACATGTCAAATGTAATGATTTTTTCACCCATTTGTCTGCTCCTATGTACTCGTTCTGTGCCTTGGCTTTCTCTTTTCTTGTATGACTATTTTCAACTGTGGTCTTCTTCCGTTACTGAAGTCTACGCAAGATTTCACTAGAAATCTCCTCTTTGTCCTTGCGCGCCGTGTGGTCGACAACCTCCTGGAGTGTTGGATTTATTGCTTCTCTACTCACTTTCTTGTAAGGTTTGTAACTCGCTGCTAATTGTTTTTTTGAACTCTCGCATTCAGTCGGTGCCTTGAAGGAAGTCTGTCAGTCCTTGCCTCTGTCAGGTGGTTATGTGATGCTATATGAGTTTCTCTGTTTGTTCTTGCATCCTTCATGGACATCCTGAATGCTTTACTGATGCGGATGTGATCGATTCGGTTCGCCATATTGTGAGTTAGTGAAACTCATTTCTCGTTGTGTGTGAGTTTGTGGGAGAAAATTGAGCCACTTATTACCACTTTGTTGGAGGCACATAGGTTTACAAGTCTTTCACCATTCTCTTTGAATTTGCCCAGCCCATGCCACCTTGAGATATCTTCATATCTGGTATTGTCGATTGCGACCCAGACGTTTAGGTCATTGTAAGGATGGCCAGGCTCTTTCATAGAAATTTCTTTACGATCGCCTCTCATGAAACATGTCTTTATCGTCTCCACTTCTGTAATCTATGGGTGCATAGCTCTAGGTGATATCCATCACAATCCTATTGTCCTTCTTTAAGAATCCCTAGGTTATCTTGAGCCTATTAGACTCACACCCTGTAATATTCTCTTCGCACATCTCCTCGGACATCATCAGTGAAAATCCTCTTGTGTGTGACTCATTTTCGTCATGACTAGAATGCACTATCAATACTCTTCTTTCTAACTTGTACCTAGTATGTTTCATTTATTTCAAGGGCTTTCGGGTTACATGATCTATCTAAAGTTAATCTATGTTGGGACTAACATGCATTGGACAAGGAAATGGTCTTGTAATTCGGAGCTTCCATTTTGTTATCACGTTGGTACAGGACTACAACCCATCATTTTTGATATATGAAGCTATGATACTATTTCCTGCAATTAAATATCTGTGGATAGTGTTTAGGGTCATTTTAAGCGGTTCTGCATATTTCCTTAGTACTCCAAAGTGAATCTCATCCAAACCTGCTGATCCACATGGGTTCAAGCACCTCAAAGTTCTCTTGATTTTGTATCACTCAAACTAAACAATGTTTTAGTTGATTTGGAACAGGTTGGAGTAGCTTTCCACTGATAGACATATATCTGGATAAGAGTGAAGGAACAGAAATTTTAGCTTGCAACTAGTACAACATGTGTGTGGTTAAGGATTATGTCTGTTGTGATACGTACTACATCGTTGTCAAAGTTTTGGATAGCTCATCGTTGCTTTGCATGGATTCCATTAAACGATCCAGATAGGTTATTATCATCCATTTCGTTTATGGGGCACTACCTTTGAAGCAAATTATTGCAAGATGACCAGTATCTGATTGTACTGCAGAAATTCCATTCGTTTCTAAATGCAAGAATAATCTTTATAACCTTGCGTATGTAAGGCTAAAACAGCAGGAAGATATTTGGAGCTTGATTTACAGCCACTGAACAGGCCTACGCCTATTGATCGACTAGCGGCGGATGTGGTTGAGCAAGTCACACAATTTTCCCATTATGATGAGGGTATTTTTGCAGAACCGTACATTCCTAGAGGCTAGTTTTTACATCGTTGTGATTTGTTTTGAGTTAGTTTTCATGCGACGCTGATGCGAAAGGGGACTGATTTCTTGATATATTAGACGATAAAAGGACGTGATCGATGCGTTTAGTCGGAACTGAGACGAGTACATTTGAAACCTTCTCCACCTGTTCGATCAAAACGATGTGCAGTTTGGAGGCTTATTTTTCAAGGCTCCAAGGAGTTCGTCCAGCATATATTTAGACAAAACTAATTACTAAAGTTCCATTGATAACTCAAAGATTTTGATTAGAAAGAAGTGTTCATTAACAATGACGTCGCCCAGTGATAAAATTTAGGGAGAAGTCACCTTTAAAACTCTTCTAATGCTTATCATCAGGGTTCCAGGACGTCTAAATAATACTTTCACCATAAAAGAGCTAGGTTGCGCTTTATAGTACACATAGTATACCTTGATACTATCGTGGGAAATGAAATTTCATGAGATGAGCGCAATATGAGTTATCACCTATGGTATCTGCTGTCATTACGAAGTCGCTTAAAAGTTTTGCGGTAAAGTTCACTGTTGGATATTTCTCTCTTAATCTGGATTTTAAAGGACGATTTGACATTTAAGCGTTGACTGTATATTATTTCTCCAAGCGTGGCACATTCTTACCCCATCTACATTGTCCTTTAGGAAATAACATGGTGCGAAGTACTGCTATGGAATTATGGCCTTGTTCAGTATTATCACATTTATCTTTGTTGCTATCGTAATACACCTAATACAGGAATTTTAGATATTTCATAACGTCACTACTTAGTCTATAAGATCGTACGTGGAAGTCACATCATTGTCTATTTTGACTCATCCTACGTATCAATCAGCAATACGATGTTTAGCATCTGTAAAAAACACATTTGTGTTGGGGACAGATAATATATTTTAATGTGAATGGGGATTTGTTACATGGATGACCGCGCCTACAAGGCTGAGCCATGTTTTGCCGACCGATTCTACCCGCGTTCGACATTGTTGACGTGCTCCGAGTGTTACATGCTGAATGTGGATCTCCTCCGTAATTATTTGTTCTTTTTCAAGGTTCATGTGGTTAGGAACCAATGCTACCACAACGCTTCAAATTATTTTGAGCTTCTCCGACATCTACTCAGATCCGACCCAAAACTTTATGAATGTCATAAAAAATCTGGAGTCCTAGTTCAGGACCTGGACGTTAGGCAGTCAATTAAAGCAATACTTTTGTAGGCTCCCACCATCGTGGGAGCTGAAAATTCCACAAACCTACTGAGTAATGAACATTACAATAATTTGTCCTGGTTCGTCACAAAGCCAATGAATATTATGTTAAGGAACTGATCCAATGAGGATCTACCTCACTATCTAGGATTTGTTCTCTCTATGCTACAGAAGGATAAGAGGCCATCTGTTGGTGGCACCCGGCACTTAATCATTTTACTGTGTTAAAATGAAAGTAGTTGCTTTGTGTCAAATCACTTCATTGCTTGAGTCAACTTCTGGATTATGCATTGAAGGATGAACACTTAGATAAAGTTACACTTTTCCACTACTTATCAAAACCACAGCTAGTACGACTACGGTACCTTCAGTGAACGGTTTGAAGAATAAGTTTGATAAGTCATGTATGCAGTTATAGTCCACTGTCTTTCTCTTGGAGTAACATTCAACTAGGTTTACCAATATTGGAGTGACACTGTAGCGCTTCTCCGACCTTCCTATGTCATATCTAGCAATTTACCTTCAATTACTGCCACTTAAACCACCTTTTCTCTTCTAATATCTGTTTATATAGTGCTCTTACATGTATGTCTATTTATGTAGTCAATTAGTTGGCTTCTCTATTTCTCTTCTCTTGCTCTTCCTCTGTATTCCCCCCAGATTCTAAATCTGTTATTCTTTTTATTGAGTGTAACCGACCCTCAAAACTAAAACGTGAGAGAAAAGATATCAACTAATTTATTCTAGGTCATCGCAAAGATATTGGATTCATGGTGGGTATTGAGCGCCAGCTACGGAATTTCTCAAGATTAAGCGCGTGATTTATGAAGAAACGGCGTGGGTTCAAGAAGAAGGGTAGAGTTTAGTCATCACGCTCATTTTTAAAGAATTCGCAGATGATTTATTTGTCGAACATGAGGACGAATGTAATTTGACTGATGTCAACATACTACGAGTGGAGCACGTTAGTTCAAAGATTAAGCGGCGCAATCGCAAGAAGACACTAAAGAAATTTGAAAAAGTTCAGTTCCTCAATATCTGTGACGAATATTTAGCTTCAAAATCCCATGTTCTCCCTAAGGTCCTTCCAGAAACGTTGCACCAACCATGTAGCAACCCAGAAATTTTAAATTTCCTAAGTGTCTTTGTAAACAAGTAAGAGATTTTATTGTGCTCATGGTACACTGACATTAGAACGAGACGAACCTTTGTTTCGAACTAAGTAGATGAACATTATTTTGTTCATAATGTGACATGAGATAGAGATTATATAGTAGATTAATTGGTGTCTAAGTTCTGTCACTTTCTTCTTTGAGTATACTTTCAGAATAGTTATTTGTTTTTGTCCTCCATTTCTCCTGTTCTAAATTGGTATGGAGTCATAGAGGTGAGCTAGGTAAGACCATAATTTATGGACTGCCTTTGGGCGACGCCAGATTGGCCTGTAGAGTGTCTACCTAATAACCAGGGTCAAATGAGGGTGAGGAATTAAAATTATGATTTACAGTTGATGATTAAGTTTAGAAATTAGATTTAAGGTTTTCACCACGAACTGACATCAGCTATAACGCTAAAACTATCCGAATGAATGGATGAAATTCGCGCCAAAATCCAGGATGTTATCTTTCACGTGATTGGTTTGTCCGAAGATTATAGTTTGGACAAGGTCTTTTGCATTTATTTAACTCAGCTGATTGGCACTAAGATCCAATGGCTAATGTAGGTGAGGTGTTTTTTTAATAAGCAACATGTGCTATCTTTTGGTGCATTTAGATATGCTCATGTACGAGGGCTCTACAATGCTGTGTGTGCTGGTTCTTGTGGTGTAATCGTGTAGGGGCTCAGATATGTTTCACTGACAAGACGAGGAGTGTCCATCAATAATGTTCACTTCCTGTCTTTAAGACACCCCTCGTGTTCAGTGCCTGCAATAGAAGTGATCTGCAAACCATGACGTGAATTATTGTTAATTTGTCGTGTAGCAGTGTGTAAATTCTTATAAAATACTTCCAGATATCCAGACTGTTTTGTGGGATTGAATTGGTTAACAACTTTCATTGGGCTTAATTACTGTTTTATACCAACTTAGACTTCAATCTAGATTCCTTTGTCATAGCATGTTATTCCTAATCAATAGTTGTATGGTAATACAAAATATGTAATTAGCAGTGCCTGTCTTATTTCTGTTCACATTAACTAGCAACTACAATCAAACCTAAATTGTCTAAACAAATAGGTTTCAGTTAAAACTTATCAGTAAAGTCACTCTTTAATACACACGTTGCCGGGTTTTATACTTTGCAGCTACATCGATGTATTTGACGTCAAACAGCTACGAAGAAAACTATCGGAGTTCTATGACCCTTCTGCATACTTAACATTCCAGATAGCTCCTTACGTCTGTCAGTCGTCATTGGATAAATGTTCTGATAAAAGTTACAGACCAAAGTATCGACCCCTTTGGGCCCCTTATGAACGTTTCGCTGTTAATAGTTTGCCCGGTGGGTTCCCTCTTCCATCATGGGCCTGGTTCGCTATTAAGGAGGAGTCCATGCCTCGAAGATTAAGAGGTCCTAGCTTACCTAAACAGGATAGGAAACTTCTCAAATCATTGAAAGGATATCAAATGGGACACATACAAAGATTGGTATCAGTTACACGCTCAGCTTCTAGCGCTCCTGATCGCTTGATATCGAACATTCCACCCCCACCAATAGCGCGAATGGAGTGTCGTGGAGGCGATCAGGTTCTGGGCTTGCTTTATCGTTTACCCAACCTTGTACATGTGAGAAGTGACAGGTACTCACATTTGGATGTAATTTGGGTGGAAGTAGGTGAATACACTAAATCTGATTTTTTTAGTTACCTTTGGTTTGTGTGAGATACTCATGTATTGCAGCTGAACCGGTGCCACAGGATACACGCCCCAGCGACTTGGAAGGCGTTTCAGATCAACTGCTAAACATTGCTCCTCATGGTAGCTATGCCATTCGTTTAGTTTGTCGAATGCTAATATTGCATCAAAGTGGTAAAATTCTTCAGGAAGATTGGTGCGTTACTCCATTGCCAAGTTCACATTTACAGGTGAGCTACATAATCCTAGTCCTCTTGCTTTATAAGTACACCGATGCCTCAATTTCGATTGGTCAAGTTTCACATGTGGCTGTAACTTTCCTAAAATTATCTGGATGTTGCTTTCCCAGATTAGTATATGTGGAGCTAATTACCAGCTTCTTGACAGTATTTTTTCATTTTTAGGGACAAGTTAGTGTGCAAATAGTTCGTGTTATTTCGAACACTTTCATTTTTCAGATTGTAGTTATTACATATTTAATATTTGTTTAGTGAAAGTCTAACCGTTTTATAATCGTAATTTAATTGATATTAACAAGGTGTAGTGCTCGGTACTATAAAGAAAGACAATACTTAAAGATGATATTTGTCGACTCTAAATGAGTGTTATTGTCAAGTCTCTAATACTATGGGTATTTTATCCAAACATTTCTGCTGGTTTATTTTTTTATTTTGATCCCAGTAATCCGCAGGCACGACACACAGAGGCATTTGACTCTTGTCAAGCTTGCAACATTGACATCTGGCTGTTTGAGTCAAACTGCTAAATGCAATTTGATATAGAGGCCGAGATATATTTTTTCCAATAAAATCATTGCTTTCAATCGGGTCTTTCAATGTTTGCGACATTGTCTCGTGAAAAAATATGATGCATTAAAACCTAGTATTTGTAGTTCTACTATCGATAAGAGTTAGTATCAAAGTCTTAAATAAGTGTTGGGTTTACTTTCATTTAATTGGACGAATAAAGGTTCTGTAATTAGCTTATCCACCCTTTGTTTCATTGATTTCAATGTCAAGTGTAACATGAAAATAAAACTAAGCGTATCAGTGTAACACCGTTATCTTGTGGGTTCGAAACATGCTTCACTTTGTTGTGGGTAATTGGGTAGTATTTGCTTTATTCACATAAATGTATCTCCAAGTTGTGACACGCGAGCGTAAGCCTAATCAGTTACGGTAAGCCTCCATTGTAGCTAAGATATAAAGAATTTTTCGTAACTGTTAAAGCTATCACATGATGTTTGGTTCCTCGAACTTTTATCTTGCCACTTTAATATTATGTCGCTATTTCAAATAGAGATTTATCAGCCTTTTAATATTGTATTCAGTCCGTCATTCACAACGTAGAACCTGTACGTATGCCATACCCCATTAGCACAGTAAGATGAAACCCTTAGACCAAATCCCAGATTAGTCAAAGTAAAAACTGTATCAGTGGTAATAGAAGATACTAGACATTGAAGATACGACTCGTGAAGAAAATATAACTTGGTGAAATAAAGGCAGAATTTGGCGAAGACAAAGAAGGGATGTACCTGCTCCATTCCAAACAATTCTGAGCCGTCATTTAAAGACTCTAACTATTAGTTAAGACAACCATGCATACCACAACTAGAAAATCTACACCTATTAACATGACTAAGTTCATTTGTCAGTAACTTCACGGACTGACGCCATGTTTTGGTTTTGCCGCCCCTAGTTTTCTTCTAACCTATTCCTACACCACAAGACGTCTTCCATCGAGGTAGGCGGTGGATGGGCATATGTAACACGTTCCGACCACCTCAGTTGATGAAGATTTACTACTTCATCAATCGATTTGCCATCCTTACCTAGTATCCTATTCCTAACTCGGGTATTGGCTACACTGTGGTCTCAAAATACACGAGCAATGCTTCGTAGACACCTATGACCGAATACTAGTAACCTACGAATATCCCCTCTTTAAATGGCCGTGTTTCACATCAATCCAACCGAGATTTCGTCAGATACTAGACAATCAGCACTGATGTGACTCCGAAGATAAGTAAGGCGGTCGATGAGTTCAACTACCTCACTCCCTATCGTTAATCCAGGCGATGATGCAACCCAATCCTGAAGTAACATTTTACACTGCATCCCAAACATACTTGCATTTTTGCATACTACTGTACTAGATCCTATTAATCGTACTTTACATTAGAGAGATTGAAAAGCTTCTCTTCATCTCCAACTATTTTTGTATATATAACTTACCCATAAAATTCGTATTGAATTATTATTTTTCAGGAGTGTTCACTGGTTATCACAGAGGCTGTGTCAAATTTTATGACTCCAAAAACATCTACGCTAGTATCAACTTTCGAAGCAGGTGGTATACCGGACGACGCTGTTCGTTCAAAATTAGTTGATGAGCTTTCCACTGCAACTGGAATGAATAAAGCTTATTCTTTACAGTGTTTAACTGAGTGCCAATTTGATATAGATTCTGCATTACACTCATTTCAAAAAGTACATGAAGCCGGACTTTTACCCGCCGAAGCATTTTCACTGATTTGACTATTCACATTGTTTTAGTGTTGTATTTTTGGAATTTTTTTTACAGATTTTGTAAATATATTTTTACTTCACTTTAAACACGTCGGGGTTCAGTTTATTACGTAAATGAGTTTAGATTCTGTCCAACTAGGCTTGATATTCGGACCAAACTTTCTGTATCCCTACATTGTAGCTGGAGTGTCAGAAATAACAAATAGAGTATTAAGTGTTTGTGATCGTATATAATAGTGGTTCACTAATAAGCAACTAAACTACCAATGGGTTGCACCGTTTGCATCAAACAGTTACAAGCCATCTCAGCTTGTGTCCAGTATTTATGTTATTTTCGAACATCTTATTTGTAACATTGTGAGGATGGGTATCCTTAAGAGTCTAGAAACAAGCGCATTGATCAGACCAAGCTGGACCAAAAAAACAAGTTTCAAAGGTATTATTGTTCATGCAAAGCTTAGACAATAAGATGGTGTTAGGATCTTAAGAAGCGTTTTTAACAGCTGATCAAGACATCTATCTCCAAATTTTGCTATCTTAACTGCTTGAGGTAAACGTAGCATATCTAAGTCAGTTTCATCCATATGAAATTACTTAGCAACGTTATGTTGTACACACTTACGCAGGGTCCTTTCCGAATTTACGAACACCATTCGCCATGGTTACTAAAAAGACCTCGATGGTTTCTCATTCGGTGGGAAGTTCTTCAAGTAAAATAAAATCATCCGAATAATATATACTGTCCTATTCAATTTCCTGGGTAATTTACGTATTCATCTGTTGCAATTTGTTAAGACTCAGCGTTTATCTAAACTAATGGAATCGTTTTTAAAAAGTTTGAGCAACTTGTTTCATATCTTCGTGTGGCAGTTCAGCCCGTACTTTCACATCTCATTGAATAAACCAGTGATTCACAGATGAACTGCTAATCTTTCTCCACGTCTTTTTGCTGTGACAGTAGTTGTTTATATTCGTCTCTTTATTTTCACAGAACAGTTGGTTCTCCAACTTTCATACCATTAGCTTTACAATTTGTCAGTGTTGTCATGATCTGTCCTGAATTGTCAAATAATACACCTGAATAATATGAATATTTTTTTTCGCACACAATATCCACTTTCTACTTATTGGGATAAATCATCAAATGATTTTCCATTGATTGGTTTACTATTTTTTTTGCGAATGCATATAAATATTACTGTCTATTAGAGTAAGTACTGACAAGGATTTTATCGAAGACAATATTACTCGCTTACATGTATTGTTTTGATTCTATAAATCATAAAAAATTTTTATAATTCATTGATTGTGATGTAGTGTATATGGATCGTGAATAAAATACTGAATTAGTCTTTTTCGAAATCCTTCCCATATTTACTTATTACTTACGCCTGTTCCTCCATCATGGAGGGGCATAGGCCACCCACCAACACTTTCCATCCAACTCTGTCCTGGACAATCCTTCCCATTTGCTATTCATTCTTTTGATGTCTGCTTCCGGTTCTCGACTCAACGTGTTTTTTGGTCTTCCTCTTCCGTTGCTCTTCAGGATTCCAAGTTAGCTCTTTTCTCGTGGTGCGGTCTGCTTTCCGTACATACAAGCTGCTCATTGTATTCTGTGCTTCCATCGAGATATGGAGGTGTTCAAAATCCAGTCAACCACCAGACGAGAAAGAAAGGGGGAGAGCAAGCAGTTCCTATATTTACTTAGTACTTATTATTATTACTACTGAATAATAGAAAGTAGTTCGAGTTATCCTACCAGTCAAATGGCTTCTTTGTTGTTAAGACTGAGAATCTGTGAAACTGAATATCTTATCCGTCCATATTGTTACTTCGATATTATGGCTCATTCTTCTATGCAGAATAGTACTCACCCTCCTGTCATTTAGATGTTTTGGTAAGCTTCTATGTTAACGTTCGTTTATTGGTACCACATAACATTTTCGACACGTTATAGACCACACTATTCTATTACTTCCTCAAAAGTGTTATGAGTTGCAATGAATACATCAGTATTGAATGTAGAACTACCGCAATTATGCGTTACATGCACATATAGGATGCACACATCAAAGATACATACTACAGTAAACATAGACAAATGCGCACGGTCATAAGTGTATTTTATATATATATATATATATATATATATAATGCATAAAGCGAGGCCTAAACACTCCATGGTATTGACAGGTATTGGTGCTTCCACTCGTCAGTAGACGTTACATGTACGTGTGAAGAGCCTAGGCCATTACTCATTCCATTCATAGTATACACACAGGTATAGATAAGATCATCCTAGACCATAAGCCAGCGGCTTCCAAAGTATTCAATGAATAACAAGTAATCAAGTCGGCTATAAGTCGTCATAGACGATATGCCCACAATATGCTCATACCATAAGCAGTTTAAGTGTCGACCCCCGTACACCTTTTACGACAGAGTTGCGCAAGATGATAGTCATCGTGAACTTTATCGACATTATAACCAGGTAGAATAAGATTGATTTAAACCGTTCAGGGCAAACATAATGGACTGATGTGCTCGAAACTGTAGCGTTGCGTCGAGTCGAGATTGACTATGTACACCGCTACAAAGGAACGCGTGCCAGGATATCCATAAAATCCTCTGTAAGCGAAATATCAGAAGGCAGTTAATGGACCAATTCGAGATATATTTGATGGCGATCTCGTGGTATCGAAAGGCTAACGAGATCGTGCCAGGATACAAGCTTGGTTACAGAACGTAACCGAATTCGCGCGAAGTTAAAGTGTAAGAATAATGGATGCTTTTTAGCACAGTTAAACAAAAGCACATTAAAGGTCACTGGTACAATTGGTTATAATAATAATTGCTTTCAATAAACCAATCGTGTTTTCGTGATAAAGGTGAGCCACTACAAAACTTTATATTCTTGATCACTGTTCGATTGCTTGTATCTGTAAAAATTTGAATGAGCTAATAAAGAAACAGTTGAGCATTTCAAATATTTGAAGCTGAAGTAGGTTGATGACGACTTCTTAATGACTCTTAATAAAGTTAACTTTCAGTGTTCATCCTCTGCACAGTATATGATGCTTATTTTACCTGTTTGTACTTTTTCATTTAAACGAAACAGCCTATTTATCGACGTTCAAAAGCAGTTTCGCATGAAACCCTTTTAATAGATGATTAGTTAAGTTGTTAGTATTAGTTGAAATCTATGAGATAGTAATACATTAATCTATTTAGATAGAACTCTGTTCTCTAAGAATAGATGACAATAAAAAAAAACTGGTGAATACAGCGAACATAACACACATCTATATGAAAAGGTTCACAAAAAGTGTAACGAACTGTTTAGAATTTTGAGAACAAACTAAGAATAATTATTTCAAATATTGAAATCTGAAAGTTCATATTGAACTAAAATATTCGTAATTCAGTATGTCTACCACTGCCATCTCAAGAATCCTCTCAGATTAATTCATAATCAATAAGAGGTATTTCAGTTGTTAGCAAAAGAATAACTCCTGTCATTAGTAATTCTATTTATACCCCATAAATGGAACTTTGAATTTGATTAATAATCGGAGACTTTAGATTCAGAATTTTATAAACGTTGAATGTCATCACATATGCTTACATAAACTGTTTGGTACTTTTGAAGAAGATATGAAACAGAAAGCTTATACTCCAGTTAAATTACAGCATTGACAGTGAAAAATATGAATAAATGACTAATGCTTGAATACTTATTTGTTTTTATGAATGGAAGTTACAGAATAAAGAATAAATGAAAACTTAATTGAATATAATGTGAATAATTTTTATTCACAGTCATTTATTTCTTATTATTAAAAGGAATAAAGAAATACCCTCAATGAGGCTTAAAAAGTTTTCATAATACGATCTAAATAGATTGTAATTAGAGTGAATATTCTCTCTTTAGTAGGTGTCATTACCAAGGTTTGATTTGATAATTTCGAATAAATTGAGCATTGGGTTGATTGTTATAAATAAAAATAAAATATTTGTAATATCCCAATGAGTAGAAAATTGGATTTTCTGACGTTTCGTGACTTAGTGTAAGTACAACGGAACAATGCATTGTTCCGTTGTACTATTTAAACTTGGATTAATTTTAATTTGGTTATTTATTCTCGGAAGAAGTGACTTACACTAAGTCACGAAACGTCAGAAAATCCAATTTTCTACTCATTGGGATATTACAAATATATTAATTTTATTTATTCTCTCTTTAGATTGATTCATGATGCATAGAATCTAACTTCGGTTCGTCAACGTAGCCTTATTAAACTTAACCAGTAAAATTCTGAAATAAACAAACTTGTAAAGTTACCATTAGCACTACAAAGATAATTTGTTATGCTGTATTATATATATATATATATATATATATATATATATATATATATATTCTAGTATTTTCCATCTAAACCTTGAACTATTTATACTTAAGAGTGATCCATTTTCTATCGATTCTCTTGTTAACACAACATATACAATATTTTTAATTATAAAATTACACTTCATTCATTCATTCATTCAATTATATTTTACTATAGTTTTGTTTTTCCTTAAGTCACAAAAAAAGATTCATTCTGTTCCAAAGATCATTGTGATTAGCTTCAGTATAAATAGAATAAAGAAACAGATCATATGTGAAGATCATTATTATTATTATTATTATTATTATTATTATTATTATCAGATTTACAATAAGCATATGAGTTTATTGATTCTTTTAATTTATTTTCTTATATATCTGAATGGATATAACTTGATACAGTTTAACTTATTATCTGATGAATTAATCCAATATGTAAATAATTATGTAAGTCAATGGTTAGTAGTAAAGTAATATTTCTTTTCAAATAACCTGTTTCATTATGTATCATATTACTTACTTACTTACGCTTGTTACTCCTAATGGAGCATAGGCCGCCGACCAGCATTCTTCAACCCGCTCTGTCCTGGACCTTCTTTTCTAATTCCATCCAATTCTTGTTCATTTTCCTCATGTATATCTCCATTTCTCGGCGTAATGTGTTCTTTGGTCTTCCTCTCCTCCTTTGGTATTCAGGATTCCACGTAAGGGCTTGTCTTGTGACGCAGTTGATTGCTTTCCTTAATGTGTGTCCTATCCACTTCCAGCGCTTCTTCCTGAGTTCTTCCTCCGCTGGGATCTGGTTTGTTCTCTCATAGTAGGTTGTTGCTAATAGTGTCCGGCCAACGGATCTGAAGTATTTTGTGTAGAAAACTGTTAATAAACACCTATGTCTTCTGGATGATGGCTTTCGTAGTTCTCCAGGTTTCTACCCCATACAGTAGAACTGTCTTGACATTTGTATTGAAAATCCTGACCTTGGTGTTGGTTGACAGTTGCTTTGAGTTCCAGATGTTTCTCAGTTGTAAATATGCTGCTCTTGCTTTACCGATCCGCGCCTTGACATCTGCATCAGATCCACCATGTTCATCAATGATGCTGCCCAAATATGTAAAGGTTTTTACATCTTCCAAATCTTCTCCTTCAATTGTGATTGGTTTGTTACATGTTGTATTGTATCGGAGAATCTTGCTCTTCCCTCTGTGTATATTAAGACCTACTGCCGCTGAGGCTGTTGCTAAGCTGGTCGTCTCCTGCATTTGTTGTTTCGTGTGCGATAGAAGGGCCAGATCATCCGTGAAGTCTAGATCATCCAACTGCATCATGGATGTCCATTGTATCCCGTGGTTCACCCAGATGTTGACGTCTTCATGATCCAGTCGGTCACTAGGCGAAAGAGAAAGGGTGAGAGTAAACAACGTTGCCTGACACCGGTCTTTACTTCGAACGAGTTTGTCAACTGTCCTCCATGTACGATTTTGCAGTTTGGTCCATCATAGGAATTCTGTATGATATTGACTATCTCCTGAGGCACGCCGTAGTGTCGAAGAAGCTTCCATAGTGTTGTCATGTCCACGCTATCACATGCTTTTCGTAGTCAGTAAATTTGATGTAGAGTGATGTATTCCATTCAATTGATTGTCCCACAATGATCCGTAGAGTTGCGATTTGGTCTGTACACGATATATCCTTACGAAATCCTGCTTGTTGGTGTCAAAGTTGGGCGTCTATGGAGTCCTTCATCCTGTTTAATAATACCCTGTTGAAGACTTTTCCTGCCATTGAGAGAAAAGTGATGCCCCTGTAGTTGTCACAGTTGCTGAGATCTCCTTTCTTTGGATGTATTTTATAGTGAAATTCAAATATTAATAAATATTTAATATACTACTATACTATTAACTCAGTAATGATTGTTTTTCTAAAAAAATGAGAGTATTATTTAATAAGTAACTTTCAGTAGATAGATTATTAGGTGTAAGTAAGTTTTTCTTATTATATTTAATTTATCAGATTGATTCAAAGCATACATTATAAGTGGATAATCTGTAATTGTTGTTACCTAAATATCAATATAAATTCAATGCTAAACCGAGAATAAAATTTTCTTTTTAGTTAGCTGCAATGTAGGACCAGACACATATATGCATCGGTCCAAGTTGACATACCTCATTAGCACAACGAAATGAATATCGGATTCACAGAAGCAGTAAATTCAATGGTGGTATGATATTAAAAGAAACATTGCATATGAGGAAATAACACAGGAAGAAAGAATTAGTACGTAGAAAGAAAGTTATGAAGTGAATTTAATCTTATAGTTTAAAGAAATACAGAGAGTGTATACACCAACGCCATTATGATCGATTCTGAGCCATGTCATACAGAGTCTCCAACCATTGGTTACAATAGTCACGCGGATCCCGATCAAGTAGTCTGCACCAACCAACATGCCTAAGACTAGAAGCTAGTGACTTCAAGCACTGATAGCACGTTTTAGTTTGACCGTCCTTAACTTTTTTCCAACCATCCCCAACACTAGTGTCAGCATTGCGTTTCCTGGTAATCGATGTTCAGGTATACGTAACACGTGGCCCAACCATCTCATTCGATGAGGATTCACAACCTCATCAACTGATTTACCATTATTCCCTAATACCCTGCGTTTAACCTCACTATTACTTACCCGATGATCCCAGCAGATGTGAGCAATATTTCTGAGGCATCTGTGATCAAATACTACTAGCTTACGAGTATCTTCTACTTTAAATCTGAAAATTTTACAATTTCACTATAGTCTCATTATTGTTATCTATTGCTGTTAACTATGAAAAATGTCTAATTTGATATTCCTTAAGAAAAATGCAAGTTTATGCATATATACATATATGTTTGATAATTAAAATAACCTATTGTGTCATTGAATATGAATAAAGAGAATTCAACGAAGAAAAGTTTCTTTTCAACGACTGAATTTAGTAATTTTCTATTTTTAGGTACCTTCATCAATTGTTTTAACGTTAGATTATTAGTGTGTTAAACTAACTGATACTATGTGTACAGTTTCGCTTCATATATTAGTGTATAAAACCAATTGACAGTCTATTATCTTTTTACTTATATTCATTTAACAATCGTTTAAATGTTTGATGAGTTCAGTCGTAAGTACAATATATCCATTAAAAAAAAGATGGAAATAGTATGTTGTATAAATTTGTTACAGTACTATGATAAGAGTTCAGTAAATGTAAACCTAACAAGCACCTATTTCTGAATATAAAATAGTATAATAATAAGAAAACCGCTCGAAGTTATAATAAACATTCACCTATTTTAAATACAATTATTAAATTATCTTTTGTTCAGCCATCTGCTGGATGGAAAGCATCAAAACAGAATCGATTTAAATCAATATCTGATGTATATAATACATTGGGACATTATGGTATTCGACGTTTTAGACAGGGGATTCTTCCGATTGTTTCACATGAAGATAAAAATATTGAATTACCTGATTATTTTGATTCACGTGAACAATGGAAAGATTGTCCAACTATCAATATTATCCACGATCAGTCACAATGTGATTCCGGTTGGGTACGTTTCAATAAGTTTCTTAATACATTTATTTGCACAATATTTTATTGTTATAGTATAATTATTAATGTTTTTATATGTGAAAGTTTTATTCGAAATAATCTCACGCATTAGGATTTAAAGAATTCCAACGTTTTATCCGGCAAACTTGTCAGGACTTCGTCAGGGTTTGCTTGACGAAATGTTGGAATTATTTAAATTTCAATCGCTGAGATTACTTCAAATATAATTTTCACATATAATGACTTCTCTATACTCAGTGCCTAATTTTCGTCAAACTATTAGTATTTTTACCTGAATTTTGTATAATACGATACAATTGATATAAATATTAGGTCAAAGACTAAGGTATGTTGATAATCAATGATAGTGTTTTCATTGTAACAAGAATTAAATGTCAATATCATTCATTCTTGTTCTATTCACAATTGATAGATCCGAAGGAGACATGAACATTATTCTAAGTTATTCATTACCACTTTTAATTTGTTGTTTTTAGAATTGAAGTTATACTTCATTTCAAAATTGTTGAATTTTCTGTCTTATTAGATTAGATTCTGTTGAGCATATAGCAATTTTCACTTGCAATCAATCGAGATAATTCTAATATGAACGAGATCTATTGAGTGCTCGATGATACATGAACTGATATATAATCCTCCAACGATGGAACCGAATAAGAAGGCAAGAGTGTCGAAGAAAATTTAATATTCAATTAAGATTAAATTGAAATAGAACAACTCTGTATACTTTGCAGTGAATTATGACTTTGAGAAAGAAGAAAAAATGGTAAACCAAATGTGACAGCAACCAATCATAAACACAACAATGATCATGAAGAAATATCGGTTAGAAAAAAATGTACTCAGAGTTATCTTTACACGAAAGAAGTTAACATTTATAAACAATGACTAGAAAATTTGATACCATGCTAGTACTTATTTAACAATATTTCAAATATTGATCGATATTTTAAAGTATTAGTGTATTACAAAGAACGGTAAAATCGTGTTTGGATTTTCTATCCTTACTTATCATTGCTTCAACTAATAATTTGTAACTGATCCTAATAATCAATGTAAAGCTGAAGATGTTTGTTTTTAGATTTAAATGTGCTGTGTTTTACTTCACGTTTCTAGTTGTATCTTTTATAGGAAGTGGAAAGATAAGTTATTGTTTTTCGTGGAGAAAAACAATATTGAATTTATATCTGGAATGCATTTAGTTCATTGTCTAATAATCAACTGAACTGTTGAATTTCTGATGATTACTTATGTTTGAAATTTTTTGAATATATTAGGCTGTAGCTTCAGCTGCCTCAATCAGCGATCGTACATGCATCCAGACAAATGGAACAATAAAAGTAGAATTGAGTGCCATTGAGCTAATTTCTTGTTCGAAAAATAAACTTGGCTGCCAAATTGGGTATTCTGAATTCGCTTGGGACTATTGGTTAAAAAATGGACTAGTTACAGGAGATTCAACAGGTTGTTTACCGTATCCTTTTCCAAAATGTGATCATAGATCATCTAACTCATATCCAAAGTGTGGCTATACTACCTACACAGCACCACCATGCGAGAAAACATGTCGTTCTGGATATCCTATTCCATACATAGCGGATAAACATTACGGTAAAGACGGGATATATTGAACAAAATACAATTAATTTTAAAATTTTTGAATCACTTCACTGTAGTGAATATTTGAAATCTCACAACACATCCAAGTTAATAAGTATGTACTTTTATTATTTATCGCTGTACAATTAAATCCATACCAAAATGTGATTATAATCAACATTGACATACACTATATTTTCAGAAAGATTAATTTAGGGATGTATGAGTTTAATCTCAAACTCAAATCTAGCATACCCGTCTATAGTCAATGAAATTTCCTAACTTCCTAAATAGATTACTCACATTAACACAAAGAAAAGTTGACAATGTTAAGCGTTAAATATTTAGAAGATTTTCCCAATGATATAAACGTCACAAGAGATTGTTTTGAAGCTATTAAGTAATTTTGCAGTACATTATAATATGCACAGGTTATGAATAAATATTAAGTTCAAAAAAGTAAAATAACAATTTAACAGATCATCATTAAATGCATAAAACGTCCTAACTAGAATTCTTTTTATTTTATTCCTAAGATATACTGAACATGATTGATCATAGTATAATTCATTTAAAGATAAGCAATGGAAACTATTTCAATAACCGTTGTAATATAAGTCTCAATGGTGGTTGAAATCAGAAGGCAGTGAGAAGCAGCAACTACAGTTTATTAGCGGATAGCGCAGATCACAAAGCTATAAACGTATTTAGCGAATCTGAAGCAGAGGGGCGAATAAGTAAAGAAACATTGATAGTAGGGCGCCGAAGCAAACAGACCTCATTTTTTACTACATCCATCATGTCTCCTCACAAAGTCACACTAAAGTCAAGCTCAACAGGGTTTTCTTTCTCTACTAATTCCGCCAAGCCCATTCCCTTGGCTGTGGTTTCGCTATTAGGTTGGGACAGTAGGAATCTGGTTAATCCATTTATGCACGTCAGACCTGCTTAAATATTTAGTCCACCTATTTTCTAACTGTGCAAATATTGTGATAAATCTTTGTTTTAGGTTTGTGTGAACCAAGTGATTATAAATCCTAACTAACTGGATTCATACAGTACTAGAAATAGCTTGCAACCTATCGTGATGCTAAATATTAAACGGAAACACTGAATTTGTTGACAATTTCTCCTCCTTATCTATCCTGTAAATAAATGAATGACATGTTTAAATTCATTCGTTCAATAACTGATAGATAAAAAGTAGTTGTAACACATGAAACAATAGAATATTCTCTTTATGGAAGATGATTGCCAGATACTAACTGGTGAAATAACATTCTTAAAATATAGCCTTTGAATCGTTACTATTTGAGTATATATTAAATAGAAATTTATTACAATATTGAATAATCGGTACTAAGAATTCCTCATTGTAACAAAATTTATGGTGATAAATAAAGATGTTATTATTGTTACTATTATCATTATAAGTCAGTTAAACCGTTCTTTAGGGTGCTCTACTCGGAGCTTTAGATGTCTGCAAAGATGGCTGGTTAGTGAGTTGTCAATCAGTTAAGTTGTTTCACTTACAACACATATGTCACCATTATTGGCTTAGATGAACTGAAAGAAGTTTATTCTGTCACGGAATATAGCTGATGCAACCAGATCAGATTTTTTAAAATGTTAATTAGGATTGGTTGATATGGCTGATTCGTTTCTATTCATCTGTGTAGAATGACAAATGACGTGAGCACCAAAACTAAAGACCATCATGACACATTATAATCAGAACAGAATACTGATATACAATCATCTCATGAATAAATAGTATAGGTATAATGTATGTTGTTTTGGGCTTTGTGTCTACAAAGAAAGTGACATTTACTACATCGATGATGACTGTCTCCAACATTTGTGAGAACCAAATATAGGTAACAATAACAATCCCCTTTTGATCATCAGCATGACTCTTCTTTATAACCAGTTGTCCAACTTATGTTTTCTATTTATCAACTAGTACCATAATTAGAGAGGTCTAAGGATTTATTCAAGCAGTAATAGAACTTATTTTTGATTGTATGGATGAATATGTACTGAGACGCAACAACTTGTATAAATCAATTTTTCAGTAGTTTGATTAAATGGACATTGAGAATTTCAGACTTTAGTGGGTGGCGTAAAATTGAATAGTTACTTTGTAAGGCCAGTTTAGAAACTATAGAAAATATTATATTCATGCTACATTAGAATCAGAATTTCAAGCCGTATACTAAATATAGTCTGATTCATCTTCTTACAACATTCTGAAATGCTAAAATATATATTGTTTTCCAGATTAATCAGTAACTGTTTTGATTGTCTTTCTTTTTATTTATAGGGAAAGCCGTTTACAGTCTTAGAGCAAATGAAAGTGATATTAGGAAAGAAATTATGATGAATGGACCAGTTGAAGCGGGCATTTTTGTGCATGCTGATTTTTTTAACTATAAATCTGGTGTTTATAAACATATAATCGGACGATTAGTTACTATTCATTCAGTTCGAATAATTGGATGGGGTATAGAAAATGATACTCCTTACTGGCTATGTGCCAACTCATGGAATGAAGATTGGGGTCTGAATGGATACTTTAAAATTTTGCGCGGGTCAAATGAATGCGAAATTGAAAGTTTTGTACATGCTGGCAAAGTGGACAATAAGCCTAGATCAGATTGAAAATAATCGTAATATAATTATTATAACTTTATTTGAATAACTTATTTTCACTAAATGATTTGAATTTAAACAGTTATATCCAAATATAATTCATGATAACTAAACTTTGACTTTTATAATGCACAACATAAGGTAAGGAATGAACATTTTATATTTGGAACCTGGTTTACTAAACTTTTCAGTTTTGTTTCATGCATCTAGAAAGAAAAGTGTTTAAGGTAGTTGGCAAAATAGTGTTCAGTAATGGTATATGTGGATTGACAAATATACTGATACATTTACAAAACACGTCTGCAAAATGTTTTACAAGAACGGCCAGTGAGTTATCAGTGGAATCGATGTGAGAGTATATTCGAATTTTAGATATTCATAACTCTTAAAACATGTCTCTTTGATTGATTCAGTGATTAATTTTTTGAACTTGGACCACCACGACGTTTAGACCAATGAGATTGTATTTTTCCTGGCCAATGAGATTTGGGAAAATTTACTGACATCAAATGACAACATTTAGTTAATGCAGATCTAATAATTATATTGTAAATTAATATTTTATCTTAACCCATTACATTTTATCAGAAGGGGTTTTATGGAGATTTTAGTAATTTCAGTAGTTGAAATTATGAGTCAATTAAAGCTAGACCACCATGGAAAACTTCGCTGGGGGCGGTAACGTGGATGCGCACTGCTGAGGAGTCCTATACCAGGACGAAACGGCCGTCCAGTGCTTCGGGGTTTTCCATTGTGGTCTAGCTTCAATTGACTCATGATTTCAACTACTGACATTACATTTTACTTGTAAACACAGTAAAGTGTCCAGTTGCATTTAGGACATATGAAGAAATCTACGGCTTAATTAAATTACTTTGATATGATTCACTGAATTAGCTAGAGATCATTATGTCAGTTAATGTTTTAGAAAACAACTGAACACACAAGTAAACTGGATGAAAATGATCGAAATATGGAAACGTGTAGTAACATATTGAAAGTATGAAGAAAGTCACTATAAGATAGTGACTTAAGTTAAGTACATAAAGTAAAAGTCGTATTTAACTAGATTAGTAAGTAATATATTTACGTGAAGTTATGGATATTTCCCATTTCATATCAATGATATGTATAAATGGATGCTTTTAAGAATAAAAGCTACATATATTTAAAAGGGAGATTGATTATCAAGTATAGATACATGAGTTTTTTATTATTTAAGGAGGATTACCATTGTATTATTAGTATAAGTGTAAGTTTCCTTTGATCCATTGTATTCAAAGTTTCATACTTTTCACATAAATACTCATTTCTATAAGTAATACACAGGTCATTGAAGTAAATGTCATAGAACAATAAGCAATTCGAAGCAAATCTATGTCCATTATGCAAGAACATAAAGTCTGCATTATTTTGCCTACATAATCTAAGATAACTAATCATTTGTGGTATGAACCAAAGAGTAAATAAATAAATTTTTTTATTGTTGTTGGGTGCTGCGTTATCAGGCCGTTCGATATAAGTAGCCGTTGTTTATAGAAAGTTTAGTTTACCTTTATAACTAACCATACCAATAACTTATTCTACCAAGTACACAATGACTATGAACGTCAACAGACGAATCATAACTATTGTGGTGTGTGCTACTTATATTGACATAAGTAGTATATGATGTTAATCGTGAACACAAGGTCTGGCAGCAGAGAGACTAAAGGATCGAACAGTAAAGAATGGAAACAGGATGCGATTTGTATGAAAATGCAAGAACAATGAGGTCTGAGTCATTATTAGGCAAGTGATGGACATTTTGCAAATTATGTATTTACTATTTGATTGTTAGATTTTATTAACAAGTTCTGTAATTTTGTTTTAAATACACCCGATTGTCCCCACTGGTGTTCTTGTTCACTACACTGTTACTATTCCATAAGCACCTAACTCAGTGTTCCATTAGGGATGAAGCTAGATAGTAAATCTTTCTGCTGCTTTAACTCAAAGCTCACGTGATAACGTACATTAAATACCTAACCATACACTAATATAGATAAAAATAAAATCATCTACACAATTGAGCCATAAGTGATAAAAAACCTGAGTAACAAAGGAATAATTAATTGATCTCATCGAAATTACTATAATATCGAAAAAAAACCTTCTGATATGAATCAACATATGCTCACTAGTGACTGGCTTCAACAGGTATTTCATCGAGTTCTAGTGAGAAGCAGTGACCAACGGAGTTCAAATGGATCTGTTGTGAGATAGTAACTCACTGAGGACAATGGTTGATGTGTCGCTCAATTTTGTAGATTAGTTGAATTTAGACATTAACACCGTTGGATGCTAGCCATCCCAGTGGTCTAGAGGTTAAGTGTTCGTGCACGAGACCAATAGGTCCTGTCTTCGAATCTCGCGAGGCCGAGTCGTGGATGCGCACTGTTGAGGATTCCCGCAACAGGACGAAACGGCCTTACAGTGCTTCGAGGTTTTCCATGGTGATCTAGCTTTAATTGACTCATGTTCTCAACCATTGAAATTACTATAATATCTACAAAAACCCTTCTGATATGAATAATTAATTAACAACAAGTTAAGCCATTATCTGATCCGTAATTTATTTTCATCACTATATTCCTTCCTTACTCCGTGATTATTGAGCAACCTCATTTGATAGTAAGGGTTTCGAATCAATGTGTGATGCAATCTTTTCTATCCTTCCATAGACATATGTTTTCCGTATAGTCTTAAATTGAAAAAGAACGTTCCATATAAATTGAATCATGTTACCTATTTTAGTTACAGAAATAAAAGTTGATACAGTTTAAGAATCACTAGGAAAGGTTACTGAGTGTCTTTAGTTGATTCCTTTTTAAAAGGACTTTTTATTAGAACTAACAGATAAGTATAATTCATTAATTGAATAACTGACTTGCTTATTAGTGGTTCATCAAGTTAATATCCAACTGAGATTACTTGTCACAGTTTTAAATGTTCAAGTAATGGATTATATGGATTACTTTTGCTTAATTTTCCTTTCATTTGATGGTTGAGTGATACATAGTAGTGTGATCTTTATAAAAGACTTTTATTAAGCCTTTAGGTTCAATAGATTTGTGTTTTTCATCCTGTATATTGTGATGCTCTAAACTGATACATTTATACCAGATATTTATGGGAACCTATCAACACTTGGAATCAAACTTTTAATAGGTATTACACTCTAATGTGCAACACTCATTCACCAGATAAAATAAAATTGGCTAGAAGTGGTGAATGTAGTATGTATATATAAGGTTACTGTTATAATCTCTTTCTTACGGTTATGACCCAACTATTCCTATTTCTTATTATTCTTGGACACCAAATCACTAGACAAGACCGCAAATCAGAACACGGTAGGACAGGAAAGAGATTATATTCCAAATAACAAGGTTAGATGGAAGCAAGAAGCAAGTATTTAGAGCAATAGGGAAAACGCTAGTATATTTATAGTTTTTCACATGAGATTTCTAGAGTGTTCACTAAGTATTGAGTAACGCTGATTGGGTAAGAACTAGCCAATCAGCGTGCACCAAAACAATCGTGCATTGAGCATGCTATAATCCAGTCTATGTCCCGCTATCACCTCCCCTTTGAGTAGATTCGTAGGATCTGCTGCTAGGAGGAAGCTTACGCTTCTTCTTGGGCCGCGACGTACGATTCGGTGGACAATGACCTTCTTTATGTCCACGTTTATTGCACACCTGACATTTATGCTCCTTAAATGGACAGAATCGTACATAATGTCACTCACCACATAACCAGCATGCAGTCGTTGGTTTGTTGCGAGTTATTGTCGGCTTCTGAACTTTTAACCTAGTAATAGCATTGACACTACTGCAGGTTAAATTAGAATTTGCCTGTTCAATCAACTCGTTGTCGTGTCTGATGCTTTGTAGCCGCTTACACTCATCTGTCAATGTTCTGAGTGTGACGTTTGGGTCTTGATCCAAATACGTGAAGGATAACCTTAGTCTCAGTATTCTATGCAAATAAAGCAAACGTTATGTTAGAGTACCAAGTGGTTGACAGAAAAATCGTTTATTAAATAAATATCTTTGCCTAACCGGTCAATGACTGATATGATTCCATAACTATTATTAGTGTTCATGGTCTCCAGAGATTAAAGTTTTATTTCTTCATTCTTTATTCACTGAACTTTATAAATTACTGTATTTAAATGGTTTTGATGCCCAGAATGAGATGCTTATTCTCTTATGATAGACTTGAAGACAGTGAAAATCATTGTGTATATATGTGTAAATGTGAGTACAAATTGGCATATAAACAGATGTTCATCTGTTCATTTATACACTTCAAGTGTAGTTTATTAGTATTCGTTGCTTGAATTTTTCCATTAATGCTTAGGACTGCAATTGATCAGTCCATTGAACAAGCTAGTGGTTATCTGAACTCAGTAGTTAAGTCAATAATGCAATAAAATGTTTAAGCGAACGATACTGGGTTCAAGTCACGAAGTGAACATCAACTCTGAGATGTAAGTAAATTCAGCTGACGAGTCCCAAATAGAACGAAACCCGCATCATGGACTCCACTGCTAGTCACCATCATCTCATATATAGTCTATTAGGTTTACTTACTTTTTTTCAATTTCTAATTTTTAAAAAAGGATGAATTTGAAAATACATTTTGACTGACAACTTAATGACAGGAAATAAAGATATAAAAAAGTGAAAATAATTTTCATCGAAAATATAACAATAAACTCTTTTATTTTAATCAATTATTGGCGTCAACTAATAATAATAATATACATGTATGATCTTGTGTAATAAAGTATTCTCATCTCATCTCTTCTTTTAAGTTAATATACATTTTTTTCCAATATAGGTAGTATATTCATTGACCCTGTTTATGAATTCTTTCGTTTACATTAAAACAAACAAACAAACAAACAAACAATGTGGATTATTTGAAATGGTTAGTTCAAAATATACAAAATGAATGACATGGTGAGTTATATGCCTTTTTGTTTGTTTGTTGTAATGTATTTGAATGCATTTACATATTTGTTTCGTTGTATTCATATAATTTAGTGTTAATTAGTTTATGT